GATTTTCCGCTGCCGATAAGCCTCGAGGTTCTTCCACTCCTCGACCAGCTTCTGCTGCGGCCCGACGGGGGGGCAGTACTCATCCAACACCCTCTGCATCTCGACCTCCTCCTCGACCTCCCCGCGCGGGCGGTTGATCTGCTGCGAGCGGAGCCTCTTCCTAATATCCCACGGCAACACCACGTGTCCGCCGCCATCGTCGAGCGGCATGCGCAGCTTGAGGTGCAGCACCAGCAGGTCGCGAAAGTTGCCCCCGTCGCCCTCGGGGATCTGCCCGTGCCGCGCCAGCTTGTCCGCGTACGCGCACAGCGCGTGCAGCGTCACGTCGCGGCACTTGCAGCCGGCGGCGTGAGCGACGTGCAGCTCTCGCGCCCGGGTCCCTCGCCGTCGCCGCTTGAGCACCCGCGCCCAGCCGAAGCAGCCCGTGCCGCTGCGCTCCTTCACGCTGAAGGAGTGCGTGTCCCCGATCGGCGCGCGGCCGCGCAGCAGCGCGCGCGCGAGCGACGAGCTCTGCGCCGCCGTGAGCTTGCGGCCGCGGCGGGCCGCCCGGCGGGACGAGGATGAGGACGACGACGACGGCTCCTCGTCCTCGCTGCTGTCGTTGGTGTACTCGCCGAGGTCGGGAGTTGTTGTCTTGTCCGAGACTTTCGGCTCGGTTGCCCTCTCGGTCCACTTGGGGGGGACCTTTGCGCTTTCGAGGGCCTTCTCTTGCGCGCACTCACTCGTCTCCGGGACCTTCGGTACCGACAGAGTCACGGTCTTTTCTTGGTTTGCACTCACGACTTTCGGTGCCGCCGGGGTCACCATCGTTTCTTGATTTGCACTCATGGCTCTGTTTGTGTCAATTGACTTGAACGATAATCAGTATAGGCTCGATATTACTTTTCGCTTGGTCGATCAGCTTTTAAAGCAAATCAACCGGCAATCTTGGGATATTCCATCTTGGACTTCATATATTGAGTCTTGCTACTATTTTAAGACCAGCACGAACCTCTTCTTTCAGAGCAACATAACAATAGTCTTTGAAAGAAATCTCCCTGGTATGGCTCATAATGAGTTTGGTGTCCACAATGTCCCTGTTGTCTTTGTAACAACGGTTCAACTGTTCGGTAAGTTAGGTAATAGTCGGAAGCCGTGATGAGGGCTAAATCGGCGCTCTCGGGTCCTCACGAGAGTCTCCGTTCTCAGAACCAAGCAAAGCTGGAGATGGTGATTGTAAATTTGAATAATTCTGACTTCAGGTATCGAGTCAAGCCTGTAATTACGGAGAACCGGGGCCGTGTGCGTGGCGGCAGCTCAATTCCCCGATGATGGGTTGTGAAAGTCAGCTGCGACGACCAGATTTATGTAATTGGCAGGCTGGCAGCCCGCGCCGCCCTCCCCTCCCTTTTCACACCCCCCACTCTGAAGTTACTGGCAGTAGAGGAGCCCGGGGCGCCGTGGTACGAGACGACCGCCATGGTACGAGACGACCGCCTCGAGGACCACAACAAGATGTGGCCCTTTGTCTACTCCCTGTCCGCTCATATGTCGAAAAGTGGCGAGTCCAGTACTTCTCGACCGCGGAGTGGCTGCCACTCACTTGCATGGAACAAGCCCTTTTTGTATGCATGAAGCATTACGCTTTAATTATTCTTCTACCTATAATTTCGGGTAGCAATGTGTCAGTATAATGAGCTTTGACAAGCCCTTCTGGGATGTTGAGTCATGATGGATGTATTCAATACCCGAGCTCAGCATGATTCACCAAACCTCATTCTCATACATGCTTTTGCACATCTCTCATTTGACAACGGGCAAGGAGTAGCCGATCCTGTAGGAATGTAAGTGATCATTCCTCCTGTAGCTGCATTGGGCAGCGGGTGTCACGGATTATAAACCGGACGGTGGTCGCCCCTTGTTTTCTCTGCTGTTGAGCCTTAAGTCGATTCGATCAATCCTGTGGACTCATTCCTCCTATTTGCTTAAGTCAGAGGTAAACACGAATATGGCCGGTGTTCCAGGCTTGATAGTATACAAAATAATTAGGTTTCACAACGATATCTGTTACTATGGTCTGCTTTTGTGACTCATTATTGAATAAAGACAGTTGCGTTGTAACTAGCAGAGTGTTGCTTTGGCCAGACACAGTTTAGGGTTAAACTTATTTCAACCGCAGGACCAGCCTGGAGGGTTATGATGTAGGTTAATAGTTCTTGCAATGTTAATGACCAAGCAACATCAACTCTCCAATCCGGTCATCAGGAGCCCGCAGCTTCCCTTGCCTGGCACCGGAAGCAACGCCAAGCTACAGATCTGGACTGAGCCCCTGCCGAGACCAAGCATGATCAGGTGCCTACTGCTCATTTGACCTACCAGCCATGAGTTCTGTCCTATGTGGCTCAAAGTCACCTTCACCTTTCCAATCACCTTCATTAATTGACCTTCTGTTCATGGGCCCTGCTCCACTACCATGTTGTTCTCCAAGTTGTGAAGCTGCGGGCTTCCCCCCTTTTTTGTTGACTTTGTCTTGCCCGTACCTTTTGTACTTCTTTTCATGTTCATACCTACATAGCTTTGCTGGAAGTCACTCAAGTGGTCATTGGATACGATCACATTTATCACTAGGCTGCTGTCGCCGATATCACATGTTGTGGCTAAAACCACCTGCCTTCACCAAAACCCCTACTGTCGCCGAAACTGCCCACTTGCACGAAACCACACACTGTTGCGGAGACCACCCTGCTGTCGACCGGACAACAACTCTGTTGCTCAGCTGACGACACCAAATCAGCGGGTCTCCTTCTTAGCTACGTACATCAGATGAAGGCAAGGGCTTATCTGGTGCAAAGCACACATCTTGCCCCTCGTCCCAGATTTAAAGATAGAGCTCCCACCAGCTCCCCCTGTCTTCTCCCCACCTCCTCACCCTGCGCACTTTCCAGCTCGCAGGCATCCCAAGTTCTGCTTCAGAGCTGGCCAGCACGTGCATACCGACCCTGGTTACTGCTTCAAGACACTTCGCGAGCGTAAGTTTTCCCTCTTAAGTTACCTCTCTGCCTCGGTCGCTTTTTCCGTCTCCCAGAAGCTCGGCCTGTTCTGACTCACGGTAGAAGAGCTTGCCGGCGCGCGCATACCAATCCTTGACACTGCTTCGAGAGCATCAAGATCGTGAGTGTTTCCGACCTGCTTCCCACCCTTCGGACATGATCTCCAACTCCCGGAGGCTGGAAACCTTCTGACACGAGGTGGCAGCACGCACACACGCACGTCCTCATCCGAGCACCGACGCTTCTTCGCCACCATGTCGCAGGTCGCCGAGGCCCTCGACGAGCTTGAGGCCGAGCACCGCATCTGGAAGCTCGACCTGCCCCGCGAGCGCGTCATGATGACCTGCTACCCGCGCAACGTGCAGATCTCCGGATACGACGAGGCCGGCCAGGACGGCGGCGAGTCGGGCCACGTCTCGCAGCGCCGCCGCGCGGCCGAGGTGCGCCTCGCCGAGCACTAGGAGACGCTCGGGGTGGCGGTCCTCTGCCTGCGGCAGCTGCGCCGCCTGTGCATGAAGACGACGCCGTGCTGGGACCAGGACGGCGTGCTCGTCAACAAGGCGTCGCGCGACGCCATCCCGGCCATCGAGCGCGCCATCGTCGACGTGTGCGCGCGGCTCGTGACGGCGCACCGCGTCGCCGTCGGCGACGCCGGGGTTCACGCCAGCATGGCCTTCTACCGCCGCGCCTTCTCCGGGCCCATCCTCATGAGCCGCCTCGAGGCCATGCTCGAGGCCGAGATGCGCCGCCTCGAGCTCTCGTTCGAGAACCTGCGCGCGAACCGACGCTCGCTGCGCCAGCGCGGCACGGACAACTTCAAGAGATACCATCCCACCGAGGACCGTCCCGGCCGCAAGGTGGGCAAGTCGCCTCTTCGACAGGTTATGATTCCCCCCGCCGTACCTGAGATCCAGGAGGAGAAGTTTCCTCTCTGGCGCTGAGACGACTCAGATCAAAGGGAAATATGCCGGGAGAGTTGGCATCCTCCTGAAGAGCCTAGAGGATCATGGGGACCAGGATACCCAGGCTTGATGGTTCCTAGAAGTATAAACCGGTATTCTTCAATACCATGGCTTGGGTCCGGATGGTATCAAGCTCATGATTTGTACGGTAGAAGATGATAGTAATGAGCTTCAAGTATGCAACCAGGCTTTCCAACCTGGGTAAATGATCATAAGACCTTGCGGCAGAGTAATGTGATTTGACTTTTTGGTGCGAATTTAAGGGACGTTTGTCTCTCCTAGCAGAGAAAATAGTTGCCTCATCTCGCTCAGCCTCCTTAACGATTCAAATTTGTGCCATCCCGAATTCCCGTAGTTTGCAAACCCGGCTGGAAGCTTAAACTTCTAACTGCGGTACGGTTGTGAACTCCAGAAATTTCAGTCAATGGTCCCTTCTCGGGTGGTCACCGCCTATGAGAGTGAGGATCCGACCTTCGCGTGCTCGGGGTTTTCTGCTCGACAAGGTCACGAAGTGTGATGTGTTCATAGACCAAGAAAGCATCTCGCCACACGTGGAGGTTCCGTGTTGCAAGCCCCTATCCATCCAGCTTGCAGCTTGTAGGTATGGGATGGCCCCTGTTTCTCAGTCAGAAGAACAGCTACACGAATACGATACTGCTGGGCAAATGTCAGCTCCCTTTGAAAACGCGGTGTCGAGACTCAATGACTACTTAAGTTCTGCAACGGAAATGGGCCCTCGGAGCGCGCCACATTTCTGACTCTTTACTCGAAACCTCGGAAACGAGATACTGTTCTAGACTTCAGCATCTAAGACTCAAGATTGGTGGGGTTAGGCACAAAACAAGCGACACTTGGTTTTGAAAGTAACCATGTTCGCACCACTTATGAACTGCCATCGGCAGCTTGACTAAATGCTCCGCAACATGGAGCGGCATCGAGTAAACTGGCAAGATCGCCAAAATATGTGTTGGGCTCCAGAGCAAAAAGTGTGTAAAATGAGCAAAAGTTATGGCGTTAATGAGAATCGAACTCATGTCTGCACGGCCACAACGTGCCGTACTAACCACTATACTATAACACCTTGAGCAAATCTTGCTCTTATATGTACCTATTATCCACTGCTGTGATCCCTGTCAGCTACGGAGCCGCGTTTCTGACGTGATGTCTGACGTGATGCAATCCCTCCGCCAGCGCAAGCCACGCCCCGCCATCCTGCCGCGCCAGCTCTTGTCGATAGGGCAGGCACGCTGGGTACCTATCTAAGTACCTAGGTAGGTCAGGGGTAAGTCCTAAGAACGTCCCAGTCAGATGGTACATACGCCGACCAATTGTAAGACTGTTAAACCGGCACAGATTCAGGACCCCACGACACGCAGAGTCTGGGAAACATTGGCGGGAGCAACGAGTAACGCTATCGGCGGTTTCCTGACTCGCCTGAGGGTACTTGTCAGTTATCGAAAGTGAGTGTGGTGGGAAACGGATACTTGGTGGGGAAATAGACATGCTGCTGTTACTGTACCTTACTGTGGCATGTTAGCACACCACAGTATGGTAGACAGTACGAAGTACGGAGTACATTCTCCAAAAGGTTCTCCAACTTCTCCTCATCTCTTGAGTTTTTCAATTCCCAATGTTAGAAAGACATCGTGGTTGCCTCGTTCCTCGTTCGTGCCATCCTTATTATTTCTGTTCAAAAGGAGCGACGCACCGCGGCTTTACTCGGCACTCTCGCACCGCACAGGAGACTGGACCCTCTCGTGCGGTAGTGTCCGCATCTTCCGCAGCTGCCCAGAGTGAGCGATATCGGGTCGTGGCAGGATCAGTGGGTATTATGGATACCGCGGGTACGCTTAGGCCAGAGATACGGTCCCGTCGCCCACCTCCGACGGTCGACCAGGGGACCAACGGCGAGATAAAAAGGATTTCCTCCGAGCCCTCTCATCCAGTCTCTTCCAGACCACCCCATCCATCCGCCTCTCTTCTCCCGAATCGCAACAGCAGACAAGCACTCGACTCCGACCTCTCGATCCAACGGCGCAACCATGTCTACCAACGCCTTCGTCCAGAAGCCCGCTCCGGCCTTCAAGGCCACCACCGTCTTCCCTAACGGCGAGTTCAAGGACATCAAGCTGTCCGACTACCTGGGACAATGGTACGTCGGCGCTCACCGGCTCCCCCGCGCAAAATCGATAAGGACCGAATACTGACCTGTCTCTCTTTCTCCTTCTCTCTTACCCTCCTCTCTCTAGGGTCGTCCTCTTGTTCTACCCGATGGACTTCACCTTCGTCTGCCCCACCGAGATCATCCAGTACAACGACGCGCTGCCGCGCTTCCGCGAGATCAACACGCAGGTGCTCGGCGTCTCGACGGACTCGCACTTCTCGCACCTGGCGTGGACGGAGCGGCCCCGCAAGCAGGGCGGCCTCGGCTCGGACCTGCAGCTGCCGCTGGTGGCCGACCGCAGCATGTCCATCTCGCGCAGCTACGGCGTGCTGATCGAGGAGGAGGGCGTGGCGCTGCGCGGCCTGTTCATCATCGACCCCAAGGGCGTGCTGCGCCAGATCACGGTCAACGACCTGCCCGTCGGCCGCGACGTGGCCGAGACGATCCGCCTCGTCCAGGCCTTCCAGTTCACCGACGAGCACGGCGAGGTCTGCCCCGCCGGCTGGCAGAACGGCGCCCAGACCATGAAGGCCGACCCCAAGGGCAGCCTGGCCTACTTCTCCGCCCAGAAGGACGGCGCCGCCGCCGCCACCAACGGCAATGGTGAGTCGCCGCGCAAGAGGGCCAGGCTCGAATAGGGTCGAGCCCACCGCCGACCTGTACAGAATGTTGACCTTGTGTGTGTACGATAGGTGTGTCCAAATAGATGTTCTGCGTGCCTGAACTGCGCTTTCTCCCCGCCCCGCCGGATACCGTTTTTTCTTCGCACGACCCTGATGACCTGATGAGAACCTTAAGAGCGGCATAGAGGGTGAGCATAGAGGAGGGGGGCGAGCAATCAAGATAGAGAGGACTAGACTCATAGACTCGCGCGCGCGTATAGAGGATAGAGCGGATAGAGAGGCTTGCAAGGGCAAGAATATCAGGCTTCACCACCTTTTCACAACCACCCTTTTTTTTAATGCTCTAATCATGTAAGTGGTGTGATGCGCCGGCATCCGAGCCTCATTTGCACTTGATGTCAGCGTTCAGCCCAAGGTGCGAGTATGATGCCCCTACCGTTCTCCCTACCGCAAAGTCAGACAAGCGATACTGGGGTCAAGTTGCCCGCGCTGGCTGCTGCTAGCCACATGTCGGTCGTCCAACGGCCGCAGATCCCATCGCAAGTTCAGGTGCTCCGCGGCGCCAATAAAGTCTCCGGCCTGACTATCGGGCCATGTCCCGGACCACGTCGTCTTGAACTACCGGTACCCACCCACCCTCCGAGCAGACACGAGGAGGCGGGTTGTCTTGTCGTATCGAGGAAAGGGACGTTAAGGTATCAGATTTAGATGGAAACTGATGCGGTGAACGGTCAGAAGCGGTCGCCCCTTTTCTTAGTAAAGCGCCAAGCCGCCCTTCGGCAAGGATACACCCCTACCTATCATAAGGGCATGTTTCCACGCAGATGATTGACTTCATGCATGGAAACACTTGGATGATGGGAAGAGCCCGCGAAACACTGAAACAGAGAGCGGAAACGCGCTTTGGGGGATGCGCGGGATGCGCAGCTAGCGTGCACGCTCCAGGGATGCTCGGAGAAAGCTGCAATGGTTCGCATGAAGCAGAGCAGCCATGAACCGTGATTGCAGAGTCAGGCGAGTCGACGGCATTCAAGCGTTCAACATGGTGAGGGACTGGGGTATAGTTAGCCTGAGTGCCGTGTAAGTGAGGAGAGTTCTTCGTTGCCGGCTGCAGAGATATAAAGCTCGGTGATGCTCGACAGATTGACTGGCTTACACTTCCTTCGTTCCCTGCCCTACCAAATATCGTCGCTCATTATTGTCACTCTTCTTGACTTACCCGTGACTCCGGGTCTTCACAGCATTTATTAATTACTCAAGTCTTGTTACTTACCTATGGTAGCTCGCTCACTCGGCCCCTGTGCTTGAGCAGTCCACCCCTACACTCACTTCCCACACAACCTACCGAGCTATCAACACACACACACACACAAACCTTCCCACAAGACACCCCGCACCATGGCCAAAGACAAGCAGCCCGAGGTCGTCTCGGTGGAGGCGAACCTAGACGACCTCGAGGCGCAGAAGCAGCAGCAGCGGGGGCCGGCATCGCACGCGCGGCACAAGTCGTCCGGCACGATCAACGTGCTGATGGAGAAGCGGCGCGCGGCGTCGGACCAGTACGCGGACGCCCGGCGCGCCGAGGCGGCGTACCTCACCAAAAAGAACGCGACGCGCGCGCGCGAGGGGCTAGACGACACCAAGTCGCACTTCCGGCAGGCGCTCGCGCACCTGGGGGCAGGCTTCCGCGGCCTGCTGGATGTGCTGAGGGCCCTCCCGTACCTGCTGGGCGAGAGGCGCGAGCAGTGGGGGAAGAGGGCCGAGGCGAGGAGGAGGGGGCGCGCGGAGGAGCAGCGCAGGAGGCTCGAGGAGAAGCTGGCGAGGGGCCAGGCGGGGGAGGGGGAGGGGGAGGAGGGCGATGAGGAGAAGAAGGATGAGGAGGCGGACAAGGAGGACGGGAAGAAGAAGAACGAGAAGAAGAAGTGAAGGGCGGCGCCGGGCTGCTGCTCCGATCTGCCTGACTTGATGAAATAAGTAAGTCTCTCCCGCCTGCCGCCCCATCCGACGCAGAGAGCTGATATGAACAGTGTCCAGAGAGACGTCGTGAAGTGGTGCGAGGTGCTTCAGATAGGAATATCTGAAGACAGGACCATACACTGGTGTTGAGCATACACTGGTGGATTACGAATAATGACTAATACGCAACTGAGCATTCAATCTCTGGCAGATATTTCCTAAGTATATACTGCAATGTTTCGATCGGGGCGTTATATACCAATGAGTGGTAACTACCTAGCGCGTCTATCTCACAATATACCCGTATCAATATCAACCCACAAGAAGGCAATGACTAAGTACCCAGGTTCCTCTCACATGGCGCAATATGAACAACGCTTCACGACGTAAATGTAGCACAGGTTTTCAGCAATCTTTTCATCCTGAGCGACTTCGGGTAAGGTATAGGTGAGGCGGATCGTGATCGTGGGGCCGAAAAGGTTATAGAATACCAGTAGTGACAAGCCAGCATGCAGACCCCTGGCTGGAAGCTGTTTTCAAGCTCAGGGAATACCGGTAGTAAATACGTCAGGGCTCGGGTCAGGACAAATCATCAGGTACCGTTCCGTGCCTCTGGCAAGACTGATCAACGCGGAAATGCGGGAGTGGATTGTCGAAGAGTGCCGGAAGGCGGCTGGCTCGTGGACAAGGAAATTGAGGCACAGGCTGACATATCCACGGCCGCCTCTCAGCCTACAGAATATGTGCCGCTGGCGCATACTCCGGAATGAGGAATCGGTCTCCCGTTTGCTGTCCGTCTTCGGTAGGCTAGGTAAGTAGGTAATCCCACCGCGACTTCGGACGCGTTCTGCTGCTGGCCACGGGCGCGAGGGAGCGTGAAGAGTCTGGAGATACAAGTTGGCGCCTCACTGCGCCGCACAAGAGCATGTTATGGGCTCTACCCACTGGGTCTCAACCCTGCTCCCCTGAGTCCGATCATTCCTACCTAGACAACCCGAGGGTCCGAGGCCGACGTGTATAAGAGATCTATCTAGACAGTAGACCTCCTGTACCGGGACTGTCGAACCTCATCTGCTGCCACTGACGCTGACAGAAGCCACCGCTTCGTTACCTGTATCGCCCACGTCCCATACACCTACAACACCAGGACTATCGCGATCAGCTCTACCGGAAATCCCTTCCTCGTGATCGAAACATGGCCTCGGCGGACAAAGTGATAGCCGCGCTGGACGGCATCGACGCCAGCTCCTTCGCCAACGAGGTGGAGCGGGTGCGCGCGCGAGACGCCGCCTTCCACGCGTGGATGAAGCTGCAGTCGCCGTGGGACATCGCCTCCTT